TACGAGTACCTATTTCTTGTGTTCGATCTTTGTATTAATAATTATATCAAACTAGTGAAGAAATTTCACAAAAAATTATTGAATATCGAGTCAAGACAAATTTGAAAAAAGCGCTCGGAATTCCCTAATTTCCCTAATATCTATCAAGACCAGCGTAATTCATGGAATTCACAAGGTCCTTTACTAAGTCCAATTTATTTTCACGTAATTTTCTGCAATTACCGATGAAAAATCAAAACTAAAAAACATCATATAAAAATCACCAATTATGAATCATGACTGTTACGCACATCATACAAGTCTCACGGTCAATAAAAAAATGTAAAATACCGCCATCTATTATGTTATTTGATGTTTTTTTCGGTGTGCAAACGACCACGTAACAACTAAACTATCTGTGACAAAAAAAGAGCTTCTACATTAAACGGTATATATAGTATTATATATATGGTTCTACAATTTAAAATTAGATCTGTGTCCCACGGTAAGCCGTACATATCGTCCCTTTAACTGACTAAGCACCAATTTACATTGCCGCGGAAAAGAATGGAAGCGAATGTTTGTAATCGTAGCATAACTTATGTCAATTGTATAACGTACAAACTGCATTCGAGTCAAAAAACAGATCGAGCGTGTTCAGGAGAATTCTCGCAGTCTCAGGAATTGACGCCGCACCGGTAGCTGCGTTCTCCGGAAGACGCGAGACTCGTGTTTTGGCTCGTTTGTATCTACATTATACAAATGACATAAAGTTCATTATGATATGTATAATTTCGTTTCACTTCCATTCCTTTACGCAATAATGTAAATAGACCCTAAATGTAGTAAGTGATTTGAGTTGAATTTTTAGTGCAACATGTTTTCGGTTTAGCATTTCTCATCTTGAGCTACAGCTCGTGTCTATCTCGTTCTTTTTATTTATATTTTATATACGACGAACACTGTACACTTTTGAAAACATAGTAAGTCGTATGTCAGTCGTAGTTACGATAAAAATGTCAGTTGTGTCAGTTATAATATTGAGGAGAGCAACGAATTAATCCTATTACCAGGAAATGTTTTTCATATAATTTCATCTGTTATTAGAAACTGTGAAACAAATAAACACAACCGTACTTATATTTCTTTTTTTCGCCCAGCAATTGAGAAACCCCGTATCGCGGGTGCCATGGACACACACTTAGGTAGACAACCACAAATTACACCCAAACTCACGAGAGAAATAAAAGTAGGTCATACATATATTTCTCCCGGCCCAGGAATCGAACGTGGGATGTCTGTGTGGCTGTCGAGCATGATCACCGTTCGGTCATGAACGCACTTCATTATCAACGTGTGTTTTATTAGGCTACCTGTCTGAACGTATCATTTATCTTACTCAATCACGTCAAAAATGTAAGATAAGGCAGCATTATTGTTAAATTCTTCTCAAACTAGTTTGGTAAAAAGAAAAAAACTTTAAAACATACCCATAGTTATACGAACCAAGTTCGCATGTTCACTGTACTGACTCAATTTACATTGCTGCGGAACAGAATGGTAACGAATTTCTGTAATAAACTTAATTAACTTGTGAATTGTGTAACGTAGAAACTAGATACGAGCCAAAAAACGGGTTTCGCGTCATCTGGAGAATTCTCGCACAGTCTCGAGAATTGACGCAGCTACAGTACCGTTTGTATTTGCCCTGCCATTTGGGACGCGCGCGAGCACCCGGGACGCCTGCAACGCACGGTGACGCACCCACCACCAGAGCCATGTTTAACGAGGATCTGAATCCGGGAGGCCGAAGTGTTTGCCGACAAGTGTCGTGTCCTCTCAGCGGCCTTAAATCGCTTTGTAAATTTAAGATAAGTGTTAGATTGTAAAGTAGTCTGTGTTTACCTCTTTTCTTTATTTAGTTTTTAAGTATTATTTTGTATCTTGTGTATTGTTATATTTAAACTTTACTTTATATTTAAGTTTGTGAGTCTTGTTGGTATTTAAAACCGCAAAACAAATAAGTGGCTCGGACAGGAAATCAGAGTCGCAGATGTCACCAAACGCCTAACGAACATTAAGTGACGGTGGGCGGGTCACATTACTCGAAAGCGTGGCTCCTGGTGTACAGCGGTCCTCGAATGCCGTGAATTTTCACTTTGGAGTGACAAGCGCTTCAGAAGGAGACCGGAAATGCGTTGGAAGGATGACATAAAGAAAGTGGCGGGGTTGAACTGCATACAGGTGGCACAGAACCGAGAGAATTGGCAGAACTGATGGAGGCCTCACCGACATGGTTAAGAACGACTACAAAAAAGAAATCTTGTTGGACGCTTTGACTTACGCTCCACAACAATGTTTTCTTTATAATTTCTGTATTTGGATTTTTATCAACAATTTTTAGCATCATCAGTTTCTCCAGTTTCATATAATGTTTTTACAAAGGTCAGTAGTCAGATTCACTCTACCACCGTCAGTAGGCCAATATAAATTTTCCAATAAACCGACCAATAGCATTGTCGAAGTTGTTTGTTGATATTGTTTGCGCATCCGAGCATTGTCCAACCTTGTATAGGACATTCAACGCAATTATCATTGTACCTTCTGTAATCCTCGCTGAATAGCTCAATTGATTCATTTTCTAATCTGTATGTAGTGGTGGAGATTACATTGATGAATTTTTTACGTATACCGACTAAGACTTAATACCAATAGCGAAATGTTCTTATTATATGTTTTATATACTTCATATTATTTTTATGATTTTGTGATAAAATGCTTTATTATACCAAGGCATAGATAATCATATGTACTTTGATTTAGGGCAGTGCATTTCCGGTTTACCCCCCTAACCAATTCCTTTCAATCAATGAATTACCTACATTACATACATATACGCGTAGTTTTACCCGCGACGAGTATATTCTTAAGTTTATATGGATACTTAAGTCGAGGGTAAAATGGGTTTTATTAACAAGTTATACACTCTGCTTTTCGCTTCGATTGCGAGGAAATTAAACAGCAATATTACAAAGAAACGATTATTTAATTAAAATTGAATGTAAAATTACAACAATTAGACATATTTAATGTGATGGTTTTTTATTTTATGCACTAGGTCATAAAATCCTATTTTATGCTCTAGTGCATAAAATACGACATCCAGCTTAATACGAACTTTAAGAGCATGAGCTGTGAAAAGAATATATTTAGTGGCGAATGCTCGATTTTGAAAGCTGAGTAAAATCATACTTAGTTACAATAGGAATGGCAGATACTCCAGTTAATAAACAAGAGACGATTTTTTAAGGCTGGATTCGAACGAGAAGATATTGTTCTACATTTTTTAAAAGTAGTTAGTGCATTATTGTATGCACTAACTGCTTATATTAATACTAGGTACACGGAATACGTTTCTAATTGTTTTGACATAGACAAAACCGCAAAAACGGGCGAGTCAAATAAAAAAAAATTAGACCGAGTGAAATAAATAAACTTAAGCTATTTTTGTATAATCATAAGATCAATAAAAATGTCATATTAGTCACAAAAAGTACACAGTTTATGCACTGATTGACATAATGGTGTGATACAAAAATAAACTGTTGTAGTAAACATGAATCACTTCGAGAGATTTCAAACCTCTAACTATGAAGTACCAAAAACTATCAAGGCAAAAGTTTGAAAATGTTGCCAATATCACTGCCTTAAATTAATAGCAGCAGCTCCTTGTGAAAGAGTTCGTCCAGGAAAATACTACCATCTTACTCATTTCTGCTACTTACTAGTAATGTGAGCATTATTGCGTTCCGGTTTTGAAGGGTAAGTACGGGTGCTGGTGAAATTACAGGCACATGGGACTTGTCAACTTAAGTGTCAGGGTGACGGGCGCAATAGCCCCCTCAGATCTTTGCGATATAAAGCTCTGAGTGGCACTGCCACTGATATGGACATCATCACGACGATCATCACGTCACTTGGTATGATAAAAAAAAATATTGGCATCACCGTGTCTATCTGAAGAAGATATAACGAATTCCCGCGAAAAAATGTTCGAAAATTAAATTGAAGAAAAATTACAATCTAAGACCTGGCAGTGTGGCTAATTAGACGTCGTAGCTTGTCCCGAAGAACGGAATATTTTACTACTTTCTGAATAAAAAAGTCAAGAAACCTGATTATAGTCAATAATTTCTTTTTCTAATAACTACGAGTACAATCTTTAAGATTGACCGAAAAAATTAGCACCCCAATCAAGGGCACACCAGACTACACATTTTTGTTCGAAAATCGCCTCCATTGCAACGGAACAAGATACGTCAATGTGTAGCTTGATGTGCTGGCGTGTGTACACATGTTCACATATTTCCTGAAGAATTAGATTTATAATAAAATTCAGTTAACACGATTTTGAAGGTTTCCGACAATTCAAATATGTACTATGTCAGGAGTGTTATCACGTGTAAAAAGGATCATTTACGCATGTCTAGCACGTGTGTTGTAGCGTAACTATGCGATAAGTAAACCAATTTGTGTTTTAATAGTTTTTTGTTAATAGCTTTGGCAGTAATAACTAAGTAAAAAAATAATTTCCTATGTGCCGTATTCGATTCACCAATAACTATTTTGCTTTCTTTATTATTCACGGATTTAAATTCAAAATATTTTATTGCATTAATATATTGGTATTAATTTTTATTTTACATTGAAAACAAGAATACTTTTTCTTTTAGTGACTACCTGTAAAGCTTCGGGCGCTTTGTTTCGTTTGTTTGAAAAAAAAACGCGATTTCCTTCCGATAACATACAGTTTCATTTCCAATGTGTAGTAATCGCGAAAATCTAAGAACTCGATACGTACGCGTTCTGAATTTAAACTGCAAGCGTAGAAAGGTAATTTTCATAAACATAAAATATTAACTTTAACGAGGTTATCCTGAACGTTCTTATTGTGTTTAAGTATAGATGCCTAAGTGAAACTATCTACCGCTCTAAACAGACCCTTAGGGATTAAGACTCACTTTTCACAACAGAGTTCTCCTCATCCATGATGGCCATCTTACTCGGCGTCTTATCTTCTTCAGGCTTCAGACCCATTTTCACTGCTACAGTTCGGAAAACTAAAAATATCAAAATATCAAACGCGCGCACTTTTCTAAATTTTTAACTCAAGTAAACAAGTCTTTGACACAACTATACTTTTATTTTTGTCCTATATTTTTTATTGGAATCGTTTTGGACATTTAGTTTTTTTTATTATTATTTACGAGATCGCACGCGTCAGGTGTGTGCTGTTTGCTTAGCGAGTACAGCGCCGCCGTGCTCGACCGAAGGTTGCTAACGACTGTCACGGATAATGGGCAAGGCTTGTTTATAAGGCACACGCGACTTGCAAGCACGCTACATGCTCTTCTATTGTCGACACGCTAATAAAATATCAGAGAAATTGACACATTACTGACACTTGTCCTCGGGGTCGATGAGTCAGATTTATCCGTTGTTTGATGGATATGTGGGAAGTACTTGAACTTATACTTATTCCATCAAAATTTATTTATAACGATAACACCGCATACGATACACAGTATTGACGTGGAAGATGAAAATATTTTTCATGACTTGAAAAAATTCGAATTTAGTCTGTTCTTTAGCTTTATTCGAAACAAAATTGATGATCAAACGAACGTACCTGTACGTGAAGTTCAATCTTAGACATATGAGCAGTATCCAGGCTACAGCCCTTTGCACGTATTTTGTAGGAGGTAGCCATTGGAGGTAGCAATAAAATATATGAATTTGACACTGAGAACTCTCACCAAAATCCCGTCATACTGTGGAGTTTCAAAATGTCCACCGTAAAGATAACATTTCCCGCGAAAAAATATCAAACAAAATATTGAAGAAACATTTCAATCTAAGATCTGACAGTATGATGTTTGTACGGTACTTGTCACATTGTTTCCGTGCCGATTGACTTAGATGCGATTGAAAAAATCATATGTGTTTGTTGGTGGTTAACTTATTATTCACGAGGCGTCGTTCCATATAAGTGAGGAAATGCATCGAGTTGATGTGCCTCCGAATTTGGGACAGCTCATACAAAACTGGTTTGGCTGCTAACTCCTCAATGTCAAACGCACGCAGTCCCAAAGAAATGAAACAAAAACATCAATTCCATGTATATTTTCCAGGTAAAGGGAAACAAGCGACAGTATAAGGACGTTGAAGCCTATCCGAGCCTCTGTGTGCTATTCAAACTAAATATGACGGGTCTTCAGAAAAAATCCAGTAAAAATATCGATTTACTTTAAGGTTTGAAACTTCAGATGCTCAAGTAAAATAAAGCCGTTCCAAATTATTGTCCGTAGGTACGGTGGTGTCTTATCTTATGAAGGTGAAAAAAAAACATTCCGTCTAATCAAATATAATATATTTCATATATAATTGAATGCAACTACCTATTGCGTATTTTATTTTACATCATATTTTTATGTATTTTATATTTTATGCTAAATTATCTAAGTTAGTTGGATACTCAAAGAATTTATTATTATTAATTTCCACCAGACTGCAAAAATGTAATGCAAAAACTAACTACACACATCAAAAGTGTCTAGGGATCAAGTACGTTTAAGAGTATTGCTGCAATTAGGGTTAATTATATTTACTTTTTTTTATCGCTATTGATACTTTTTAGTGAGTTTTAACATTTAAATAAGGAATATTGTTTAAAATTCGATAATAAGAAGAAAATCGATTGTCAATGTGGTTTTGTACAAAAATGAGTTATAGCGTTTTGACAAAATCATTACAATATCTGCATCGGAACCGAAACAATTTACATTATTATGGAGAGACGACATCATTAAACCCGAGAAGTGATGATGCGAGCCGTCGGAATGTTGGAAGCTGGTTCCAGGCAACGTGCTGTGGCTTTCACTCTTAACACTACACAGAGCGTCATAAGTCGCCTCTGGACGCGCTATCGCATGACGGGCAGCGTGGCCGAGCGACATGGAGGACGATCTCGCATCACGACTCGCAGACAGGACCGGTATATCCAAAATACTGCTCGACGGAATCGTACCATGACCGCCATGATGTTGGTTACGAGGCTCCACAGCTCCTCAGGCTTGCTAATAAGCGATCAAACAATCCGAAATCGTTTACGTGAAGTGGGTCTGCGATCCCGAAGGCCGCTCAGAGTTCCACCTATTTCACCCTGCAATCGCAGGACCCGTTTACGATGGGCTCGCGAACACAGAAACTGGGAGGAAGAAGACTGGCGCTATGTGTGCTTTTCGGATGAATCCCGCTTCGGTATGAGACCGGATACAAGACGTACTCGAGTTTGGAGAACATCTGGACGTCATGAACGTTTGAGATATTGTCAGGAAGTTCATCCATATGGTGGGGGAACAATAATGATATGGGCCGGTATTTGGATCGGCGGAAGAACCGATCTCATTTGGATCAGGGGTAACCTCAATGCTCAAGTTTACGCAGAGAGGATTGTTTCAGATGTTATCATCCCTTTGCCAGGTCAGTTGGGTGATTCATTTCAACTAATGCATGACAACGCACGTCCACACACGGCTAGAGTCGTAACACGCATTCTTGCCGAAGCTCGTATCAACGTTCTGCCGTGGCCTGCTCAATCGCCAGACCTCAATCCAATTGAGCACGCATGGGATATGCTTCAAAGAAGAGCTGTGCCGAGTATGCATACCGTACATACTCTACAACAATATTTTGACTTGTTACAAAACACATGGGCGGCCATTCTCATCTTAAGCATGCCAAATCGCTGTAATTGTGTTAATGGTGGAAATACAGATTATTAATTTTCTTATCTTTACAATAAAAATGAGCAAAATCATAATTTTCGCCATTTTTTTGTCATTTAATTGACGCCGTTAATTTGAGTTTTTTCCCACAATTTGCAAAAACATAAATTTTAGTTTATTTTAATTAAATATAGGGGTAAGCGGTTGAATAAAACATAAGCCTTAAAGTAAGAAGTCGTCCTGGAAGACTGGATTTGGTAAATATTGCTTAAATAATTTTTATTTCAAAAATATTCACTTGATCCCTAGACACTTTTGATGTGTGTACTTACACAATGAAAAAAAAATCCGATCCTGTGTTAATTTATACTTATAATCAATTGTATATCAATCAAGAATTGATATACATAATAAGTACATGTATAGATATAGCTACAAAGAGTGACATGTGAGAGTGGTTGTTAAAACCACCAAAATTCAATTAATTACCTTTTTCGAATTTCGGATTTCCGGAAATGGTCTTACTGCATGGTAGGATAAAACTACTCATCCAGCAAATCAAAGTTGGATTTTAAAGTAATTCTGGTGATGGCTTGACAATCGCTTTTTTTTTAAATCAATTTGTTTTTCCACACAAAATTAGTGTGCGCAATCATTTTACGGATTACAGTTTTTACATACAACTAAAAACTAGAATGCCATCCTTCAATTTATAAATTTTTTCTCCAAAATTGTTGATCATTATTATGTTGCCAGCTGGAATAATTAATTATGGTTGGATGTTTTTCTTCTATTCCATTTTTTCTCAACCCAACACCAACTAAAACAAATACCATACACGTGAATCTCGTACCTGCATTGGAACTGTGGAAGTATTAAATCTATATTTTGTAACCGTGACGTTCAAACATATGTCTTATATACAAAAATTATTTTATTACTTTAATACTCTCGACTGGTAACACCACGCAACAGGATTTTCATTTCTGGGTTATCATCTAATTAGTTGTAACATAAAAACATGAATAAACTTTATTTCCTTGCAAAAACTTGGAATCTGCGTACCATTATGGAAACGTACAAATTCTTATATAAATAAATATCTTTAAATAAAAGACAAAAAGGGAATATTATATTTTAAATCAATAGTATATGTTACCCAAAATTCTACAGTTGATGACAAAGAACTTAGAAATGTATAGATTTGCCAGATCATGTATTTTTTTATTGATTTGATTTATCTTTGTTTTGTTTGATTGATCAAAATTAAAGATTGTTTTATTTGATTAATTGAGACAAAAATTTTACCAATTATCAAGTTTCCTTCCCGCGTAAATGAAGGGAAAGAATTCCAGACTAATGAAATCTCAACTCAAACTTGCGTGAAGCAAATGAGCCATCGTAGGATTAACGATTCGCGCATTCCAGCTTTCGCAAATCTGTCTCCGTGCTATCGGCATTTGCGCAAATGGACCATCGCGCTTTTGAACCTTCGCAACTGACCATTCGTAAAAATAAACCGTTTGTCGCGCATTATAGCTTTGCCGCAACCATCTTCGCACCATCGTCATTCGCGTAATCGGCATTCGCAATCACGTGGGAAACCTATTTTGATATCAAGTGAGCATATGAACAAAAAATCCGCCTGGTGGTAAACACCGCTCAGAGATTTAAATTGCAAAGATCTGAGTGGCACTGCCACTGCGCCCGTCACCCTGAGTCAGATTGCAAAGACTCATGCGCCTGTAAATTCATCTTAGAGCGCTTGCGCACTACGTCCTATTCCTACCAGTTCCGAATCCGAGAAATGACGGTCCGAAATCACAGGGATCATTTTATCTCTAGGTATACTAGCGATATTCAAATTTTCTCGGGTTCACAAGCGACATCCGAAGTGGGTACGACTTTTGAACACTCTTTACTGCTACTCTGTATATTGAAAATACCATGTAAATATCACTGTATATAAATACCACTGTGACAGCCACAACAGTAAGGTTTCAGGGGTACAACTACTCTTTTCTACATACTTTTGTTGCTCAATTAAACTGAAACCTATACTGTAAAACCAGAAAAAGAACCATTTTGTGTGACATAGTTAATCGCTAGGTTATAGAACTAACTGTCGGCACCTGCACCTTGTATCGGGGGCCCTACTTTCGAACCACGAAACCAACTGCTGTATAAAGTAGGTACGCAGAGTTGTGCCTTTTTTCGTTACGAGGGCAGATTAGGCATTCTAGTAAATGCTTATAAAACTTAGCCTCAGTATTTTTAAAAGTTCAATCATATGATACGTTTCTATTCTCCGTGTTAAAGATAATGACTTACTTGTTAAGCCGTCAATAAATATAATCCCATTGTCTTCATTGTGTTGACGTAATGATATTTTATAAGTCTAACGTTGTTTGTGCAGCGAAAGTTACAAAATATAAGCGTTTGATCTTTCGAAATATAT